CTATATGACTTGTCAGAAATAGAGATAAGAATAATGATCAGACTTGGTTCTCCTCCTAGTTGCATTTTGAGTTGATACCTGGATTTCTCTGAGATGTCCTCATCCTACAGGGTGTCTGCACTGTGGACAAGCACCTCTCAGTCTTGAGCTTTTATGCACTGTGGGGAGGATAGGTTGCTGGTGATCCTGCTCAGGTCCTTGGCCTGAGACCCTCATCCGTGCAGTCCTGTGTGTCACCTCCCTCCCCTTGCCTTCTCTGCTTTGCACATCATTCATTTCTCTTCCCATGGTGAAATGATGTGCTGGCGTCAGGTCTTCAGTAGAGCCTTGGCCTTGGGTAACTCACCAAGCTTTTTCTGACATAATTGGCTGGTTTTGTCAAAGTTAATTTCCTATCTGATCTGTTCTCTATGACCCAGGGCAGTGAAAAAGGGTTATGTAATAGATGTTCTTCTCTAGGCCTGCCCAGCATTTCTCACATGTACAAAAGTACAAGTTGNGTGAAATGATGTGCTGGCGTCAGGTCTTCAGTAGAGCCTTGGCCTTGGGTAACTCACCAAGTTTTTTCTGACATAATTGGCTGGTTTTGTCAAAGTTAATTTCCTATCTGATCTGTTCTCTATGACCCAGGGCAGTGAAAAAGGGTTACGTAATAGATGTTCTTCTCTAGGCCTGCCCAGCATTTCTCACATGTACAAAAGTACAAGTTGGTGGTATTGTTTTGAACAGCAGATTGTGGTATCATTCTAAATTTTTCAGACTTCAGCACACTGATAAAGATGGATGGGAAGCAAATATAAGGAGGGGAAAATGCTCCTCTATGCAGATATTACTGCAGGTGATAGGGCACTAATCAGCTTCCACTGAGGAAACCCTGCTTCTTACCAGAAGTTGAAAGTATAGAGTGGAAAACTACCACTAAATTTTTCTTTCAGGACAAAATACAATACGTTAATAAATTAAAAGTTGAGAATCTAATTGGGTCATCATTNCCATTCTGGGTGAGGCATTATGGATATAAACATCAAAAGATGGCCAAGTTCTCCCTATGTTATCAGTGGTACCAAAGCTTTATATATGATAGCAAAGAAGAGAAACAACCTGATATATGGAATATTATACAGCTGTCAGAATTGATGATGGTAGAGATCAACTGTGGTAACATGAAAAGAGATTTGTAATTTATGGAAAGTGATAGAAAACTGTATGCACCCTAGGAGTTAGAATAGTGTAATTGTAGTTTCTGGTATGTCACATTAAAGCGCGGGTCTCCTGAAGGAGAGTCCGTGTGCATGTTTGTCTCTTTCACTAGAACAGAGACTCTTAACAGCCGGGACACACCTTCCTTGTTCTGTGTTGTGCATGGTCACTGGGACTGGATCAGAGTAAAATGTAATCTCGGTTGTGTTGTGAGAATACATGTCTAACGAAGCAGTAGCTTTTGTAGGTAACAGTGGACCAAAAGGAAAAGAGAGCTTTTTTGCCACATGACAAGTCAGGATTAGGAGCTTTTTAAACTTTGAACCTGAAGGACAGCAGACAGCTGTGGTTCTCATGAAAACCCATATGCTTCTGAAATGCATGCAGCCAGAGAACACTACTACTGTTCTTTTTATCTTTATAAGTCACAGCAGTATTCTTTTGCCTTTCAGGAGGGAAGTGAATTTTAAATATTCTATTTTAAATCACACTTTTGCTGGCCCTGTTATCTGTGAGATCATGCAAAATATTTATTTTTTTCTTTAGATGTCCGTCCTGTTTTTATAATCTAATGAACCTGTTTTGTGAGCTGACATGTAGCCCTCAACAGAGTCAGTTTCTGAATGTAACAGCAACTGAAGATTATGTTGATCCTGATACAAACCAGACGAAAACAAACGTAAAAGAGTTACAGTACTATGTTGGACAGAGTTTTGCCAATGGTAAGTAAACTTTTAATTATTCCTTCTTTACAGCTGGC